TCGAAGCTACCCTACAGCTGACCTACCGATCCTGCGGCACCTCGCAAGAAACCTTCAACAAGGTCAACGAATTAGCTCAACTGTACCCTGGGAAAATACAGACAAGGTGGTGCCCTAGCCACATAGGGATCCTAGGCAATGAGATTGCAGATAAAGCTGCAGGGAGAGCAGTACGGTTACCCTCTCCTGAACCCTCCCCTTTACTCTGTACAGCCACGCTTAAGAGAGAGGTAAAGGAGACAGGGATTGCGCTTGCGAAGAAGCTCTGGAGCACGACACTTCCAGCTCTCTATAAGGGACTAGGGCTCTACACCTGGTCCTCAAAGCCTAAATCTCTCCAGCTACCTAGAGAGGTCCTTGCTCGCTTAATTGCTGCTCGTTCTGGACATAGAGACTTTACGGCTTGCCATTTTCGCTACTTTCACCTCGACTCGCTACTTGAGTCAGGGAATTGTAAGTATAAGAAGGCTAAGACACAGTTCCACCTACTCTTCTGCAAGCTAGGAAACAACAAAGACCCTAAGCTTTTAGCTAAGGCCAAGAAGAACCCCTAGCTGCTCTTTGGACATTACTGCGAGAAGCTTTTTAGCCTGGTCTACCTTAAGACCGAATTTCTACACCAAAATCTGTCTCTAGTTAGACACGCCTCCTTTTCTTTCCCTTCTCGTTTAATTATATATCTCCTTTGTCTTACCCTGGTTCTAAAACTAATTAACGATAAGGGCTGTTGCGAAAGTGGAACTTCTCTTTAAATTGTCTCTTGTAAATTAGCTCATTCGTTTACACCCCCTGTAGCCTAGGGCACCCCCCTAGCGTCATTTGCCCTATTTTGGGACTCTTCTAGGACCTAGCCCACGCGAGCTAGAATCCGCCTGAGATTAAATAGTAATAAAATAAGATAAGGAACTACTACTAGGACCTATTCGCGAACACCTACGAGTAGGACTTAGTTTAGTAGGGGATAAAGAGGTACTTAAATAAACCCCTACCTACTTACGTGATACCGCTTACTCTAACTACTATTCAGAGATCTAGTAGTATTTATTAGGATATCCGGAGTAGGATAAGGAAGATTAATCCATTAAAAACTAGGATATAAAAGAAGACTCCCTAATCTAGGAAAACAATATAAAGTGATCGGCCTATATACATAGCTAGCTATAGAGATATCTGGATATATCCGCGGTAAAATCGAGAATGCGTAACCTTATACTAATAGACTACTATTAAGGTAACTAACTCTCTTTAACTTGTCTTTTATTTAAAGAACATCTTATTTAATTCTCTTTAAATATTAATTAGGATATTATCTTGTCTTTCTAGCTAGGCCTCGGAAACTAATTCTGCTAGCCTAAGAGAAAGGAAGAAACTGTTCTAGGAATTAGGCGAAGCCCCTATTTTACTAATAAAAGAAAAAGAAGAAACTACTAAAGGCGTACAATCACTTCAGAGGATACGAAGAGACTAGAGGCGACACAAGGTCTCGACGGAAGAGCAACAGGCTGCAAGAGAGCGACAAAACTCCCACAAATACTTCTTCATCCAGCGAAGAAAACAATAGCTATCTGTAACCAGTCGTTTCAACATTTTCGACATTTGCCAAATATGAAAGTAATTATAATTGAACTATCATAGTCGAGGGAACTACACTATCACTCAATAGTAGAGCACATCTTGAATTTAATGGTGTTGAGACTAAATTCAAGAGACAGGGTAGTCTGAGGAATGACATCGAACGATTTGACACAAACATGCAATCGAAGGGGAAGGGACTCCTATCGAATTCCCTCTGTCATCAAGAAATATATCTACAGAGGGGGGCACGGGGATTCTATTACCATGCCCGAGTTGACTGATCAGTTTTCTCTTCTGTCGACTTGAAAATAAGTGGGCCACAGTGCGGATAGAGACGACACAAGCTCATATGGAGACAATGCACCCAGGAAAAATGACAAAACACACGGATCTGTACCCAATCTCCCTGTTCTAGAAAGAGGCGGAGAAACAGATACGGACTCATCTGTCACACCAGAATTTCTCAGTGGTCATTCGGAGAGAAGTGACGATAGTCGCTAAGAAGAATCTTGCGCCAATGTCCGGAACCCCCATTTGGATACGACAGAATCGCTCAACCCATATTTGGAAAATTTCCGCATATCAATGGTTGGTATGCTTATGGAAAGGTTTTGGGTGATCTTCAACCACAATTGGGTGTCAAATTCAGCTCCATGTGCGGGAGGGTCATCTGAAAGCCAGTCTGAGAAAGTCAAAGAGAAAGATTCGGATGAGAGATTTTCTTGTGATGTAAGAACTAGCAGAAAAGAAGATTATAGCCCCCCAGATAATCGGACACGAATGAATGTGGAAGAGAGAACCTCTCCAGCGTTACGCCAAATTCTGAGGGAGAAAGTGAAGTTAGCGTTAAATTTGCCTGGCCATTCCGAAAATACAATCCAGGTAAGTGTGTTTATTGCGTCTCTCTCTCTTTTCTAGGTAAGTACGTAATTCTTATTATACGTGGTATTATAAATATAGAACCTGTAAATCTGTTTTTCAAAGAGTAGAAGGGAGTTGTTACTATAACTACTATAGTAGAGAAAAATAGGTAGAAGGTCGAGTTTTGATAGTAGGATAAAGTATAAATAATATTTTTGGGGGTTATTTTCGACCCAGTAGACTAACTCTAAGCTATATCAAAACTGGTCTATGTAGTATTGATACAGTATATATACTATATATGTTCGGGGACAATGCTACATAGGTCTCTGTTTTGCGGGGAGGAAACCAGAGTGTGAGTGTGAGACTTAGACTTATAAGGTGTATATGCATTAGAAATAAGTACTTGGCAGACGTCCTTCGGGACACTTTGGTACAACTGGCACAAATATACATTCGTTCGTTCATATCTCTTCTACCAGTGCTACATGGGTCGGGTGTCCCACAGGGATTTTGGCTTGACTCTCGAGGTTTAGCGAATTACGAACATATAGATGCGACGGGAACTACCACAAATGGTGGGGAGGAGAATTGAAGATATCGTTCAGCGTGAAGTGGAACCTAATGAGGACGAATTTCGATACCAGATATAACCCATCACGGCATCCATGTTAAGAAATCTCATCTCCACGATACGGGCTTGCCAGGAAGCTTTGTTTCGGCCAATCTTAAAGGGGAGAGACGATGCGATTCCTGGCTCTTCTGTAATCGCGGGCTCTTGGTCAGATATACTACTGCAAGATTACGAAGTCCTGCCAATTAGCAGCCTTTCGAACGCAATGCTTCAATTCGTCCCGGGTTTTGCGAGAAGTATATATCATCAAGTTAATGATTTTGGCTGCCAATCTAGCCAAACGGGCCCATCTGATTCTCCATACGGCAGTCTGTTACCTTGTATGCTAACTTGTGGGTGTACGTCTTGATAGCTGGAGTGGTGATAGAATTTACGGCTTTCGTTGTCTTGCGAGTCTAGCGAAAAGTTACGGCGAAACTTGGAGTTTCACTTGTGGAATCGGTTCTGTGAATAAAATTATACAATTAGTTTTATCTGTAAGAGACTATTTCTTTTTCTGTCGATTGTTGTTATTCGTCATTGAAGTCCCAAGAAACATCCTGGTATTGTGTTCTATCTAGATCTATAATAGCCTTGTCATATAATAACGGATATAGAGGTTTCATATTTTTTAACTTTTAAAGAATCCTTTATAATAACACTGACACGGAGAGAAAGTAATTGGTTGTGGGTAAGAGTCGGTGCGTCCACTCTTTGGGCCAGGCGATAGCCATACCTCCAAAAGTACTGCCTTATCTTACAACAAGAATTTTGAGAATACGTCGCGTGCTATTGATTAAGTTGATGAGCAATGAAAGTGGGTTCACAGGAAGACCCCGTTTTAATGTCAATCGCGTGGCTAGATAGCTAGTTTCTAACCTTATTTAACTTGGGGAAAACCCCGAACTATTTTTTCGGCCGAAAGCAGTAATGCTTTGGGCTTGAAGACTACGTGAAATACGATGCATCCTCAAAGACTGGTTTCCGCGCGTCCTGGATCCCTGAACGTGGTCTCCAAGCCAGGACCGAGTGGGTCGAAATTCGGTTACTTTTGCGCAAGTACGCCCAGAGTTTTTGGCGTGGATGTGAGCCAAGATTCCCCTCCCGCATAAATTTTAGGTTTCTTGGTCCTCCATGTCAACCATGGGATTCTTTATCAAATTGAAGGGCGGCCAGTTTGGTTTCGTGGGGTGGGGCGTATTCGAACTCTGGTTCTCACGGTCTTAAGTACCGAATGGGCCCCTAGAGCTAAGAAAGTGTTTCGGCAGGCTATTGCTGGAGTACATCCCTCTTTCTTATAAATGGGCCCTTTCGATTTACTGAATAACTTAAAGGAAGCGTTGACGACTCCTTATCTGAAGATTGAAGCTTCAAGCCATTTTCCAACTGTCCATTTACAAATAAACACACACAGTCCTTCGTCATGTCATTTGGGTTTACTATTAAAGGGGTTCCGGTTGTCATGCCTATACTTCCGGGATACGAAGGCTACGATGTAGACTTTGAAAACCCACAGCGTAACGGAGCTACAGCAGTATACGGGATATGCGGAATTTTCATGCCATTGGCATTTTTCGCTGTACTTCAACGAATGTATTTCAAGGCATTTATACGGAAACAAGTCGGACTTGATGATTGTACGTTAGCTGCCAATCTCCTTAGGATCCTTACCGCATTTCCCCGAGAACTTGTGCTAATATCAAATAGATCTTCTTATTGGGGCCTGGGTAAATACTTGTCTTTAGCAAAATATATGCCCGCGTCGTCACCGGTTGCTAACATTTCATCCTGGCAGGCATTCTCAGTGGCCATTCAGTCGCTGATAATACGTGAGTTTCCATGCCTATGAAACTGGTGTACGAAGTAGAAGAGATTAATTGACAGGTGAAATAGACTCGTTTATTGCCAAATATTGTGGTGTCCATGCATTTGAAATGCCAATCGACAAATTTGGCGATTTCGTCAAGGTACTTTTGTTCCTTCTAATCATCTCATTCTTCCGTGTGAGGGGGTATTTTGTTAATCATCTTCTATGCTACTAGTTTACAGTCTATGTCAGCTCAGGTAAGGACACGTTTGCGTATCTTCATGGAGGTAATATGGACTAATCATGTTATCTACTAGCTATTTATGTTATTCCCACCCTTCTATCGAAACAAGTCATCCTCATGTTCTACCTTCAACTCGGCAATAATAGCAAGTTTTTCAAATGGGCAGTTTATTTTATAATGGTAAACAGTTCTTACGTTCGGCTATCCCATAGCGGCTACTAACCATCCTCAGTTTGCCAACTTTGGCTCAAATGTGGGCATCTTCTTCTCCGCAATTTTCACTTGTGCTCCAGTCAGTTTGGCCTGGGAATTTACCAAGGTCCCTGGCATAAACACAACTGGAACATGCATCAACCGATTCATGATGTAAGTGGAGACCTCTTTCAACCTCCAAGCTATTAGGTCTGCGTATGCTGACTCGGTTTGCTTTAGGTTCCAAGCCCAGGCCTGGATGGCAATGACAATAGATTTTTTGATCCTCTTCCTTCCTTCCCGCATGGTGATAAACCTTCAGATGTCAACGAAGAAGAAGATCGGACTTTTGGCTACTTTTGCTGTTGGATCTGCGTACGTTTGGATCTTAGTGGCTTTAAAAGGACGTTGAGACTAATTGCATGCAGAACCTGTATTACCTCCGTCCTTCGACTCGTGTTTTTCCTTGACGGCGAGAAGGAAATCGACGCACCCTGGGCTGCAGGGCCTAGCAATGTCTTGCTTGCGCTTGAAGCTAATCTTCTCATTATATGCGCTTCTATTACGACCATCCGAGCCTTTGTCAAAGCCGTCTTCCCAAACCTTATCACCTCTCTGAACGGAACGCCTGGAGCGAAGAAGTCATCAGGAGGGTCATCATGGTTTTCCTTAAACAAATGGTCAAAATCGAGGTCGAGGAGCAAGCCATCCGGACACTCCGATCAAAAGAGTTATGAGAAGTTTGGCGAGGAAAATGATCTGGAAGCGGGATTTGGAATGGGGATGTCAACACTGGTTAAGGCAGACTTGAAACCATTACCTGCCCTTCCTTTGAGGGGTACTGGTACGAGCAATGACAAGAGCTGGTTGGCTGACCAGACGGTGATGGACCCAGGGGAGGAGGTGATTGTACAGGAAACGACTACGACCATGACGTACAGTAATAGAGCATAGGGCTTATGTCAAGTGTTGGCAGGGTTCAGCAATTGAAGCACAACAGGGTGAGTGCGAAAAACAGACACATTGTTAGAAAATAATTTCTTTTGTATATATTATAGCTACCTTATTGATTGAATCAAATATTTGACTTTTCATGACTTTGTATCCAAAACACACCTTGACAAGTGGCATTTGAAATCATAATTTCGGGAGGAATATGCATAATCGAATACAGCAGTTCAAGTCACGGGTGGTGATATTGTATCCACCGTCGATCAGACCAAACCTCCAGGCAAGTCCCTGGCGGAGGTAACCCGTAAATCAACCCGAAGGATTATTGATCCAATAGAGCATCTACCAATTCCAAGTAGTCGCTAAACCTCAACCCCCATTCTTCTTCCTCGCAAACTCTTTGTTCACCTCGCGAATTCCCTCTAGACTAGCGTTTAGCTTGCGATCTTATCAATTCTCCGGCGATGCTATCCATCGCCAAGATGGGGCTTTCCCTTCGACCCTCGTGATTTTGCTAATCTTTTTAATTCCCGAAACTGGGCACAAGAAAAACCAAGAGAAGGCCCAACCCTAAACACCCCTCTCATAAGCTGGGACAGTGACACTTGATACACCTCCCATAGTACCATGGTAGGAAGTATATCTTCTGGAAGGAGTGGAGGGGTTTGCCGTAATTGATAATTGGATGTTCACATTCCTATCCACTCATTGGACCGCTCAGAGACATAAGTCCGACCACGAAGCTCCTTTTTCATGGAGAATAGACTTTACCTTGGGAGCACAAGCCCTTCAGCGGTCAACGTTCTGAAACAAAACATGATTTGCCGGCAGATTTACTACGTCAAGCAAACACACAAAAAAGAAATAAGCCGTAGAAAAATCGAGATGTTGAGATTGGTCATGGAATTCTTGGGTACAACCAGGTTTCATTCCGAATTTCCGAAACACACGCGTAAGACAGGTGCGTGCTGCGGCTATTGCATTTGTCCTACCGAGGTAACAATTTCTTGACTTTATTCCTCCTCGATGCCAATCCACACTTGATCTGTAAAAGTTGTCTTGTCGTATACTTCGTATCAAGGTAGTATGGCATGTAGGACAATACACGAGCTTATTGATAGCGAATGTCTAAGTTTATCTTTTCTGTAACTTGATATTTTCGTCTATCACTCCTATCACCGAAAGGTTCCACAGTGTTTATGCTATTATGAAACAACATAGATAAAAAGCTGCAGGCACAATAATTACAAGACCAGTATGCCTATCTCTTGAGCAGTAGTTCCGGATGAGTTCAAGTGGATCAAGGACGTGCACGACTTTTGGGTGTAAAGTTTGGTGTAAGAACTATCTAGGTGCCGAATCCTGGTCAAAAATCCCCGCTGAACTGTCCAAGAGATACGGATCTGGATACTTTGTATGTGGTAGCACGTGTTGTACCTACCCCGGAAAATCCGCAGAGACCCCTCTTCCCCATACCAGCGCCTTACCGCAACTCCAAACTCCCACAAATGTTTATAAGAAGATGTTAGACATATCTTTTGTTTTGAATTATTCCATCAATGTAAGCCAAAAAATCCAGCAAAAAGTCAATGGGCCCAATCCGGGATCGAACCGGAGACCTCACACATTTTGACCTCGCATTCGAGGTACCCAAAGCGTGAATCATACCACTAGACCATTGGGCCTGTCAGACTGTTCGTAGACTGTCTTGGTTATGACGGACTGTTTCTTATTTTGTTACTCGTAGGTGGAACGATATGGTGTGGCTGTTGCCCTATGATGGTGGGGTGAGTTAGTTGGATGTGGGACGACCTGGTGGACAGGGGGATTTTGGGACCGTTTGGTGGGGCAGTCGGTTATGAGGAAAGATGATGGCTCCTCTTCTGTCATACACTATTTTTCGTTTATGGGAAACTTGATTTTGAGGGCGTAACAAATCGTGAAGGGAAACCAATACAACCCTGCTAGTTTCGTTTCCGAGTCATAACAAAAAACTTAGAATGATCTTACGGATTCTGGCTTTGTGATGGCTCAATCTTGCGTAGTAATATGGATTCCTCGCCGTCACAAAATTTTAATAACAGGGAGTTGCTTTTGTTTTGCAGGTCCTCATAAGTTTATTGCTACATTTTTCGGAAACTTTACCTGGACTCTTCGGCCTCTTTGAGAAAGTGATTAACTGCTAGAAAGAAAAGCCTATTGGGATTTAGCCTAGAAGGCACTAGGACTTCACAAACTCTTTTTGGGAAAACTCTTTCTCTCTCTCAAATCCGTTCCCGGTTTATCCCAAGTACTTTCTAAATTTTAAAAAAGAATCTACAAAGCTTGCCTTTCGTATCAAAAGTTTCACTGAGAAGAGCATCAACCTCTCCAATTACCCACCAAAGTTCTCCAGAAATAAACATAGTAAATACCTTGAAAAACAAAAGAAAACCTTTTTACCACATCTGGGATTGGGTGTTTCCCCATCTAACCTGGCCTTCCCTCCCCAGTAAGCTCAGTCTAATTGCATCGCAAAAACCAGAAAGTAACAATATACTCGTAGAATGGCATCAAAACATGCCGTGAACATCTTCCCCCAAGCCAAGGAAATTACACCCCGCTGGCTCAAGAGGTTGTAGCAAGTGGGCACGGCACTTCAATACCTAATCAACCACTTTCTCGCTATTCCCAAAATATTCTTCCCCCACCACTCTCTTTCTCCGGAGGCCATAGCTCAATCACACTCTGTATACTTTTAACATCGCAATATTACAACGCGATAGCATACGGATCCGTAGCGCTATTAAATCAAAAAGTAGAGTTTCAAACCATCAAACTTTTAATGTTTAAGACATGTTTCCGTGTGGCTTCGGAAATTTCGCAACCTAACGGAACGCCGATCGAAAATCCGGGCGATGGTGAGTTCTTGACTTTCCAATTTATTCCTTCTAGAGTATGAGGCTCAAAGAAAAGCGGGCACTCGAAGTGGAGTAAAAGCGTACTTCTGCAATATCTTTCCCGCAAAACAAGGCCGTTTAGCCAACCAGACCACATTACCAAGGATTTGAGCCTTAACCTCACCTAGTTATCGCATCCATCTACATCCGCTTCGAGTACACGTTGTCTTTTGGGCCTCGATATTCTGGAAGGGAAAAGAAAATAGTAAAACTTGCTCTTTTTTACTGTTTCTAACAAATGTAACACCTAGTACACATTTATCCCTTCCAGAGTATAAACTGACAAAAAACATACTTGCACTGAAAGTGTCCACTTTTATAACATCTTCCCCAAAAACCAAAGCCCTGCAGCCAACTATGTCACGACAACAAGCATTTGAAGCCCAATTGGACCTGCTTACAGTATCCACTAGCATCCTCTTATATCCAGTTTGGAGTGCACGTCTTTTTGTTAGTCTATACTCTGGAAGGGATGACTATAAAACGTAATGCCTTCAGCTAAGCCTTCCTTACCTAGAACTTCCATTTCCCTATTAAACTCCCTTATAATCGCACCTACTAGCATGCGCAGTTAATAAGTAGGTATTGTGTAGATTGGAGGTGATATGACTTATCAGAGGGGTATAGAGCTGAAACTTACAAGTAATGCAAGTATAAATTGAAGCTATTGCGGGGAAGATCTGTCCCTTGAGGGTTTCTTGGAAATACGGCGTAATGCTTGGAATATCTGGCACTAACAGTCATACCCTGCTAGTTCACAAAACGGCTCTACCCCAACTTCTAGCGAAACCATCGAATCAGAGACTCGCGTTTCGTGAGTATATACTTTCTCACATATGATCTGCGTACATAGTGACTCTTAGCTGTTCACGAGCCTCATTTTTTCGTTTTTCCAAGGCGGCCTGTAAAGTTTTGGCAGGACGTGAGACACTCGTCCCTCAAAATCTTTATTCCTACACGCAATCATAATCTTCGTGATTCTCCCGTGAGACTGAATCTTAATTGAATCAAACATAAGTTTCATTCTAGAAGTACTGTACCGTCAAAACTCAAGATTGAGGCCCAAGGTGATCGGAAGCTTGACGAAAAGACTTGATTTCCGTGCAAATCATTCTGCAAGTGCCATGAAAGGCCCGACTCGAGGTTGAACCTCTCTACAATCCACTTTTACTCCCCTTCTGAATGTACTCCGACTTCTGGCGTAAATTAAATTGAAAGGAACTTAGGGGGATTTTGGCGTGGGCATACCAAAATAAAAATCCTTACACCGCATTGTCGAGTTTTGACATTAACATCATGTCTCGATCCCTATCTCTCGCGAGGTTATTAAATTAGATACTTGAATCTAGGCGTTATAGACCTCTCCAACATAATTTAAATTCCAGAGTATAATCCACGTAATAGGCGGCAGCTTTAACTGTCCATCCACTTTGCCTAGGTATATATATCGATTCCAGATTTGAAGCCTATTTTCCGTGTTTATATCCCGTACTTGATATGATTAGCTTGTAGCGTTAAAACATATCAGAGTTATTGGGGCATCGCGATTTCATAAATTTACCTAGCTCTTCAACACAACATTCTTACTTGTTACCAAAGAGCATACCCAAGATTTAATCTCCGAGTATTTCCATGTGCCCAAGTGCTAAGTAGTGAATTCAAGTTAAGGACCTGCAATACCGGTAGTGCTAAGCCTCTTTTTCACCTCCAAGGAGTATCTAAGCCTAATGTGATATCCAAAGCGCATGAAGAGCTGTGACAAGGGTAGCTGTAGGAGAGTTCTGGAGTAGCCAAGTATATAATCCTATACAAGGCCTGTGAAAAGTCTTGGGCATACTCTTAGCAACCTTATCAGTGAGTTTTGACTTCCGGTGTATCTTCGTTATCCTTGCGTGAAACAAAGAGTCTCAAGTGAACCAAAATATATATACAAAGGCTATATCCCGTCTTATATCCCGGGCATATCCATGAGTGAGCCAAAGTTCCAATGGCCGTCAAAACTCCGGGATTACCTAGGATACTGCAAATAAAGTCAGGTTCGGGATAGCTCGTGTCCCCTCCCCC